AAATTTCAATAGTCACTTTATTATACCTATCAGCGAAGAATGACGTAGTAAATTCAGTTTGGCAAAACGTTTGCAACGCCCCAAAGGGAGCATCACAGACCCCACAAAGTATATATATTCTTTATTAGGATCAGGTCCTAAATCGACTTAAGCGTGTCTGTCTAACTGTCTGCATAATGTCTGTTGTAAACGTTCTTCTAGTCACAAAACAAAAATTAACCTATCAACTTGAAATTTGGCCAAATCGGTCGAAGGACACGCCCGCAGCACCATGTTCACTTAGAACATCTTTGTTTTTCAAAGGGAATGAAAAATTGGTTCTCATAAACTATGCCAAATAAATGTACAAAAATTTTGAAACGCATATTCCATGGGCGATGCCATAGCAAGCATTTGTGCGCAAATGTGGAAAGAATTGATTACGCCTGCCCAATATTATTATGTATCAAAATTTAATTATTTTTCCACTATCTTTATAAGAAGCAAAAGCAAACTTCAAAAACCCCTATAAAGTGTATAAAATGCTTGGCCAGTTTCAAATTCGGAATGTAGCTAAACATGTCCGTCTGTCCACCTGTCTCTGTTTACCCAAGTGTATGATGATATTTGTAGTAAACATTCTACCGTTAGCGAAACTGAAGTTGTCGCCTTCAAATTTGCAAAAGGAATTTGGAAGTGATTTAAACTTTCGCGAGGACACGTCTACAACATTCACACGTCTATGCGACAAAAATTTTTATTTTAGAAATAGAATAAAATCAGCCGCGCGCCCATTCAATATTATTGGGCATGAAAATGTAGTTCTTTTACTATATTTTGTCTTTCTTAGGATAACGGTGATGGGGTATGAAAGAATCGGTCGCACGTACAAGGCTTACGTAAACATAATGTAGAAGAAACACGATACTATTTGAAATTTTATGCAGGCTACCGTGAAGCCCGTCCTCACTCAGCTTCTTCATTTTCATTCAATTAAGATTATTTTCAAGTTCATTTCACTCATAACAAATTATTTATAGTGTTTGAAACCATAACGATTGCACTCGTGATATTCAATTAGCGTTGTTGCAGCAAATTAATTGAGTGAAAAGTCTATTTTAATTATATTCCACAAGAAAATCAATATTAATTATAAATAGAAAAAAAAAAAAAAGAATGAAAATTTTCTGTTCGTTTGAAATTATGCCAAATTGTGCTCTTGCGTTTTTCTCAGATCGCATTTTTCGCATTTTCACTGAAGGAAAGGAAAGCTTAGTCATTTTGTCATTCCGATTGAACAGAATTCCTTAATGCTTTCTTCTCCAAGTGAAATAAAATTAATTTTTAAAATGTTTAGCTTCTTCGAAGATTATTTTAATCAATGGAGGATTCGGTGTTTAGTTTACAGGACGAATTTGCTGCGGTTGATAAAACGGTTTATGCTAATTTTCATTATTCACGAACCTAAGATATTCGAAAATCCAACAGGTAAGCAGAGACATTCACAGTTTGTCGACGGCCAAGAATCACTTTTAACTCTTAACGTAGCAGGCTGCTTCATGGCAAGATTTGTATCCTATCTTCTTCACTTCGCGTTGCTCAGGTCCGGTTGTTAGGCAGACTTAAAATTCTTAAGACCTTGTCGCATTAGATCTGTTTACTACCTGATTGCTGTAACGTTTGATGTTACTTTTTGGTTGACAGTCTTGCAAGACTTGTGATTTTCACAAACCCGCTAACAAGGAACGATGGTATGTAATGATTTTTTCATTTCGCTTATATATAGAAGAATAATAGCCAGGATGTCTGTATTGATTGCGTTTGAACATGAAGAAGATAATAACATTATTAATAATGTTATATAAGGCCGTGAAAAATTTCATAAGCGAACTTTTAGATGCGAATCGCTGCTGCGACAATACGAAAATATATATAATTTTGTATATATATATGTAAATGTCTAAATAAAATCCGGAATTCGCCACAGTTTGCGTTCAATGAAATTTGTATATACATAGAGTTTCAAAAAACAACAAAGAAGGACATTATGGTAGGACAAGGACGCCCGTTGAATACCTTACACTACTTTGTCTAATGCATTCATTCTTACATTTTCCTGAAACTACAACAAAAATTATGCAGTAGTTTTATTGAAAGACATATTTTCCTCATATCCTCATATCGAAGAATGTTCAAAACATCGACTAACATGATCCAAATTTAGCAAACTTAATTTATTTGTCAAACAATTTTTTTTATTTCTCAGTTGCTTTAATCATAAAAAACTACAAATTAAACTTTGCCGCCATCGAAGGGATTCTTTATCATGACACGCTATGTACATGTGTTGGGATTTAAAAAATAGACTTATGTGATCCAAATTGAGCAATATTGATCAAAAAAATATCAAAGATTAGACTATTTTTACATATAAGAGTTTATTTTTCATGAGAATCTTTGTACGCGATAATGTATAAAAAATACGTCTAGTTGATCCAAATTTGATATAGTTGCGCTTATAAATCAATTTTCGTCATAAAGTTTCAAAAATTCGACTTTTTTGCCCTTTAAAGCCGTATTTTTCATTAGAACATTTATTTGGAGTGAGATTCAAAAAATAAACCATCGTGGTCCAAGTTCGTAAAGTTAGTTTCTATGTTAGATTACATGTATACGTGGAAACGATCATATCGCAGGGGTTCAAGAAGTTGCGCCAACCGAACCAAATTTTTCGCATCAATTTAAATATTAGTCGTCAGCAAAATACGGCATTATATGGGTAGTGTGGTCTTAAGGTTAGTCCGATTCGAAGCGTCTTCAATAATTTCGGGTCAAAACATGGCAGCCCACGAAGATTCATCAAAATATCTGAAAAATTGCGACCTAAAGGTTGAACAAAAGAATATATTCGAAGCTGGGCCTCTCTTAAATTCTTCTGTATGTTATATACGACCCATTAAAAACTTAATATACTTCGTATTACAAGTGTCGTAGATTTTATGTGGAGTAGGAGATCTGGCCTACTAAATAGTGTACACTATTACATGTATTATGTGATCCGCGGAACTTTGTTTTCAGATAGATTAAAGGAAAAGAACAATCAAAAATAAAATTTATTTTTCTAATCCTTTCATTTGAACTTAATTTATTGTACATAATTGTGCGATTTTTAATCTTATTGTGATGCATTTTGTTGGGTACGGTGTTCATCATATCCGCTTGCACATGACTTCATTGTTCGTTGCGAGATTGTGTGTTGTCTTTCAGATTCATTTGTTCTCCTATGTTTAGTGCACGGAACGTATAAATTTTATATAAATCATACGTGTAGTAGGCATAAAAAGGCCTTTATCATGCATATTGTTTATAAAATTTTTGTAGCATCAAACTATGTGTTGTCTGCATTATTAGCGTTGTCACTCAGCGGAAGTCGATACAAAGTTTTTAAGTGCGCTGAGAGCATTTCAAACACAAGGCCATAATAAACAGCCAAAGCTGTTGTCCCCGGCGCCACTTGTATCAAAAGCGAAAAAAAAAACACACAAAATTTCATAGTCCTACGCTACATAATAAATCATCGGCTACAAAGGGTTTGCTGCTGCTTTTCTTTTTTTTTTTTTTTTTTTTTTTTTTTTGTTTTAAATTCTATAGTAATTTTAATAATTTCTCTACTGCCACATTATTTAGACCGAAGGCAGACCAGATTTTGTAATTTTTGTTTTATTTTTAATTTTTTTGTTCCTTACGGCTTTCTTACTTTATCTTTATCATACGTTCGCAATTACGCCAACGCGCATAACCGTTCAACAAGTGTGTAAATGTGGAGGCTTTTCTCCTCTATTTCATCTGGAGTATTTTCCAAGTACACATTGCTATTATCGTGTTAGTATCAGTTGGTTGGTGATATTCGTAGACGTGGCATTTAAATAATAAAAACAAAACAACAAAGTCTGTAAGCCAGAAAGTCAGAAAAAATATATATATTTTTTCTCTAACGAACATAACAAAATTATGGCATAAACGTAAATGTTGTTATATACCCTGCACACGTAATTGTATTTTTTTTTTTGTTTCGGTTTACTTTGCTTTTACTTATTGTTGTGTGTTCGTTCTAACTATAGACACCGACAAAGGCTAGGCCAGTCATCATAATTTTGTGCTTGTAGCGAAAATAGAATACTGATAAATATATACTAGCTTATGTATGTATATATAATCATTATATTATTATGCTGCATATAATACATAAATGCATGTATTATATATGATGCAAAAGAAAATTATCGATAAAAAGAAAAGGGGGAAAATAAATCACTTTGGTACAGGAGTGCATTTTCAGCACTCACAACTTGTCGATGATCTTTAAAAGTTACATTGTCGATTCTTTAGCGATTCATAGCGCGATATCTATTTATTAAAATTGTCATCGAAGGTTGAGACAATTTTATCATATTTTTTCTCTTTCTGGACGAAGCAAGAGTAGCTAGCTTTCCTACACTAAATACTTTAGTTAGCCATATATGTCCATATGTATTTTTCTTCGATTTGAAAAGTTCGAAAGAGTTAACGTGGAAAGCTCAAACTTGACGGATGCGCTCTATAATGGATTGCACATGTAGGGGGACAAAAATGTACGTAATTAATGCACAATGCAGCGCATTTAGCCCGGAGAGGGTAAAAGAGAAGATCAAAAAAAGAGACCTTGAAGTATTGAACAAATATAATTTTAATTGGCCCTTCTTCAGCTTGAGCATAATTAGCAAACAATTTAAGACGACGGCTTCCTCTAAGGCTGCTGGTACAGCGTTCTCACAAAATTGTTTGAGCAGAAAGCTCCTCTCCTCTAATTAAAGCTTAGATGACAAATGAAAAATGATGCTTAGTACATTCATAAATTTTAGCAAATGCCATAGAACTCTCTGAACAATCGTTTTCCCCGAATCGTATGAGACTAAGGAAAATTCGTATTGCATTTATTATCAAACGTTTTTTTCTAATACATGAAATTTAAAAATCATTTTATTCGCTAGTCGACGTCATACTCCCAAACGAAAGCCAGGAATTGCCTGAGTCTTCTAAGAATACGAAACAAGCTTTAAAAATATTTGCCGTTCTTACAGCGTTACACTAGACATATGACATAGCATATGATAAATGCCGCAAAAAGTGCATAAAATTTTACAAATCGCATCCGTAGTCGCAGCAGTAAACTTTTCTATTAGCGATTATGTCATAAAAAAAGATATTTAAAAGCTACGAAAAGTGCAATGAACTGCGCAATACGTTAACCGTAATTGACTTGTGGCTTGTGACATCTACGCGATATTGTTCAAAATGTGGTCTGTGTGTGGTATGTATATCCTCGGAAATTTTGTTATTATTATTATTGTTATTATTATTATTTTCAACTACACTGTATTAAAATTGGAAAAATTTCGGTGCGACACAGCTACACCACATAAAATTTATGACGATGTTAACTTTCGTATGAAGGAGTGTTTAAGTCGATAAAAAAAAAATATCCAAAAAAAAATTAAAAGATGGTATTTCCCCTCAATCTTCCTTAACCAACTATTATACGTCTTGATACGATTTCAAATATCTTCGCAGGCTTAAAACCAGGTTGCAAATCAAGTAGGGCGTAATCGCGTAGACGATAATTTCGTATTATCGTCAACGCTCTTGTACGTAGTTTCAGTAGCGTCGTCACTCTTTACACTCCTTGGCATGCGAATCGGTATTGCGTGAGCTAATCCTAAATCCTTTCACAGAGCAATCAATTACATTTTTACAGGAGTCAATTGTCAGGAATCAGGAGTCTATTGTAAGAAACATGACTTGAATGTCAAACTCCGATCTAAAATGTACGATACGTAGGATATGTAGTGTTCTGCGAAAGTTTAACCGAAGCAGTTTTCGACTTTTTTACTTTCATGTTATATATATTACTACTCTGTGGCTATATATATATATAACGCGTTTTCTTTACAAAAATATGAACAGAAAAAAACAAATTTAACTTCACTAGAGTCTTAAAATTGCATGTTCTTCCATATCCATGTTTCCATAAAAATATTTTCCCTTTTTTCAATATGGACGGAGCTCTGTTAAGTCATTAACAGAGCTTTGTTAACAGATGGTTATGGTAGATGACTTTGCTAGTTAAATTCGAAATTATCTTCACCCTTCTATTTGATGGCGGCAATTTTTTCGACGCGGTTCAAGATAAGCCCAAAATGGCAAGGAAAACATTTCTTCCAGGTAATGAGGAGGAAGAACAAAATTGATTCTCTGAAAGATTGACATTGATGTGATCCCGCAAACAAAATTTTAAACATATGAGGATGTAAAAGCCAAACAAATGTTTCAAAAGAGTTTCGTATACCCAGAAAACGAAAATAAGCGAAGAAATTATATTCGACTGTGGCCGCGCCTCCTATACCCATACCCATTGTCTTTAGATTAAAATGGATGGATGGAAATCGAATATGTATTGTTACAACTCAGTTACATAACGAATTAAATATTCGTTTCTAGGCTTTTGAAAATCTAGTTGCTCTCAAACTCATGCAATACGGTAGACTTGTCCTTTGACTTGCTTTATGCCACTTTTAATAACAATTTGTGCGTAGCAATATTTGACATTATTTTTGTTTAATGTGAAGGCCACATTTTCACATTCGGAATAAACAGGCGGGCAGGACGATGGATAGACAAATATATCAAGATCCATTCAGAATTTGATGCCAATCAAGAATATGTACACTGTTCGTTTAATATCTCTGAAGCATGCTTCTCGTTGGGTGGGACGTTTGAACGAAATGAATATACCCATCGGTGGTGGATGCAAAAAAGTGTCGATCTATGCAATAATTAAAAAGATTTAATCTAACGCCATTTTGTTTTCACCTTTCTATTTTTGAAAGCATTCGTTTTAAATATTTGTGCAAATTTTGAAAATTGTTTAAAATTCTCACGCTATTAGCCAGGTATGTGGACGTGTTTAGTTTTCTTATTGCTTATAATTACTATAATTGCGATATAAATTATTCGCAACAAAACTTGTCAATAAGCATTGTCGAATCGTATTTCGACGAATTTCGTTACACCGACGTGTTTTGGGACAAGGGCGAATGCTATTGAATATTTCGATCATTTCCCATGCATCGTATTATTTGGGAAAGTCGTTACACGAGTAACTGTATTATGCGAATTGAATGTTGGGTCTATGAAATTTTTGGAAATTTTTAATCTATGCCCCGTTCATATCTTTGTTTTTTTTTTTGAATTCCTTTCAATGTAAAGGGAAATGAAATCATCTCTCATCATCATCTTACTATAAAAGAAATCGTTCCTGAACAAGTTAAAATTGGTTATTAAAAAAGGTTGCGAATTTAATTTTATATAATTTTTATCTTATAGAACTTTCTACGAGTCTGATAAAAATATTTTTATTAACTGTTAATAACGAAAGCTAAGGGGGCGAGAAAAAAATCTCAGTTACAATAAGCTAAACACTACTAAACCAAAGACTTAAGGATAATAAACTCTTTAGTAGTGCCTCTCTGCAATCGTCACATCCCCGTCCCGCGCATATACATTTCTTAAAAAAGTACACAATTTTATAGAAGGAATGTTTGCATAGGAATGGAATACGAATATGTTACCCCGTAAAGTGTGTTTGTATTTTTATGCAGCGCGAATCGGAAAATCGTATCTCAGCTATAGCAAATCAAAATTATACCTACCTTCCTCAAGGTGAATTTTTAAAAATTCTTAAACAGTCTACCAAGTGCAATTAAATCTTGTATCAGACAAAAAAGACAACAAATAGATTCTAAATATATGCTTGTTAATGATTGAATATTGAGTGAATGTGAGTATTCGTTCGAGTTTATACTCGATTCCATTCTATAATCATTCGATTGAATTTCGCTAGTAATGGGTGTTGACAAATTCGACCAAAGACCGATGATAGCCTTTGTTTTGTCGTTTTTCTAATCCTTTCTAAATAAACATGAATGAATGAATGAAAGAAATGTTTGAAAGTCAACTAAACTAACTAACTAACTAACTAACTCACTCACCTAGCCACCAGCACTTTTCCTCCCTAACAATGTTTTTTTAGATTTGTGCCGGGTCGTACAAACGTTCATTGCGCTTTAACACTTCAAAATGTAAAAGAAGTATTCACGGTTTAGTATCGCAGTTATGCGCTTATGTTTAGTACACAGTTTCATACAGTTTACTACCACTTTAAATCTCGGCTAGGTACACTTCAGAATACATTATATATACAAGTACGAGCGTATAACATAACAGTTATGTTTTCATATAATGTACGGCATATTGCATACATTCAATATAGAATTTGTGAATAAAAGGCAGGGAGGAAGGGGTGAGGAGTTAGTTAGTTAGTTAGTTAGTTAGTTAGTTAGTAAGTTAGCAAGTAACATACACATAAATAAAAATGATCATAGAGTGTTGATGGCTAGGTTTATGTAAGTTAATGTAAGTATGTAACCTACTTGTGAAACTACATTTTCTTGTTTGCCTATTAATATTCATGCAAAATATGTTAAGTGATTCACTACACACTTGACTTTTCTACCTCTGCTACGACTACTGCTGCTGCTGCTGCTGCTGCTGCTTTCATTTTATAACAACAAAGAAAATTGTATCGTGTTGTGAGCGAATCCTTTGTACCCACCATCTTTACCTTAAAAAACACAAAAAAAAAAAAAAATTAAATAAATAAATACATGAAAAAACTTAAAATTTAATCCGTGGCTGATTTTCCCCATTTATGTTGAAATTTTTATTATGTAATGGCGCACGTCAATGAGTAACTCAGATGAGTAAACTCAGAAAGCAGAAGTATTCTTAGTTAATGCTACGTTACGCGCGTGTCCTTTAACCGATTTCGCCCATTTTCAATGCCGACATGCCCCAGACACAAACAGACAGACAGACATGCTTAAGTGGAACCAACAATATGTACAAATGTATAGAGTCTCGGAGACTTCTTTCTGGGTGTTGCGAACGTTTTGACAAAACGAGTACACATCTCTCCTTCGGTGGTAAAATAAAACGAAATTATTGTTATTGTGACTGTTGTTATTGCTATATGCATCAACGAGAGAGTAGAGGACGAGGACTACGTTAATATTGCCGCCTATCATCTACGTTCGAAGTATGCATCAAACCCTCTCCCTTATATTTGTAATAAGGTTTTTTCGTTATTTATTCATTTTCATCCTTTCATCCGTCCCCGCAACACTATTCATAATTTCCAATGCTGGAATAGAAAGTTGAAACTTGCTATGAATCTTTTTGTTTGGTTTGTTTGTTTGTTTGTTCAAAGTATGCTATCAAAATTTGGACTAACCTGTTCAGCAGCAGCAGGTGACAAAAAAAATCTTAAATTTCAATAATGGTATATGTCCGATAACTTAACAACTCGAGCTCAAGCTCAATGGTCGAATACTCGCAATTGTACTTGACATGATTATGTAGACTCTACAAGAATCAGTAAAAAGTGAACTTTGCTCTCTTAGATGCGTTTTTGTTAAACGTTAACCCCCCTAAAGCAACGAATGGAGCGACTTTGGAATAGTGTTTTAAAAAATTTTTGAAAAGTTTCCTATTGTTGTGAACTCTTTCGTACAGGAATTTATTTCCATCCTTTTTTTATTATTGCTTTTTATTTATTGTGTTATTTATGTCGTGTTGTCTTGACTTGGCCTTTAATGCATGGTAGTTTTTTTTTTTTCCTTTTTTTTTTCTCTTTTGTTCTTGGCCAAGTCACATACTTTTCCTCTTTCCGTTTCCGTTCCTTGCCAATTTTTATTTTGTTTCTGTTTTTGTTTTTGTTTTTTCTCAGTCTTATTAAGTTTCTTTCAACTTTGCAATCCGTACACTTAACTCGTAGAATCATTTTCTTTGAATTACAAAAAAAGTGTGGAAAGTAAAGTTAAGACCTTAATAAAAAAATTTGCTGACACATTGTCCTTTCAACAAAGCTCTAGAAAGAGAAGGAAAATTAAAATTTACTTTTGTGAAGCTCTTAAAACTTCAATTGACATTGTTTTTGGTTTTTTTTTTTTTTTTAAATTACATACGTTATAGCAACAAAAGTTCGCTTTAAGGGCGTATCTTGATTAGTCATCACCTTAAGCAAATTTGCGAAGAATGCAAAGTTCGCCATTAATTGTGGGCCGAGCGTTTATTTCGCATTTGTATATGATACTGATAAGTAATATATTTAACTGCAGGAGAGTCAGTCGAAACTTGTTGCCGGCTGTAATATATTCACTGCATCATAATACAATGTTTTAAAGCTTACAATTC